CATTTTACCACTTTATGGAGATTTTCCTCATTTTATGCCATATGGTATCCAGAGGAGCCCTAAGAGGTCTTAACTTTTTCATATGCTTCAAAGTACGTTTGTATTTTCACAATCGTTTTCGCGCCAAAAAGGAATGAACTTGGAGCCCAACCAAAGGTAGTCCACAACTGGACCTTTTGTCGCCTTGTTAGTCGAGCGGTAATTTCTTTTGGTTGTTTATTTTTTACTTTTGGAACATCTATGTGGTTTCATGGTTATACTGGTAGTTCTTTTTTAATAATAACCGGTTTAATTATAATTTTATTTATAATGTATACTTGGTTAAGAGATGTACTACCTCCGCCCAATATTAAGTGTTCGTATTTGCAAAATGAAATTTCCAAGAAAGAATGATCGTTTTTGTATAGTATAATCAAGTCATTACTAGTCCGACCATCGAGCGAGGCCCAAAGCATCGACATTGTCTTCCTCGACTTCTGTGCTGTAATCTACAGTCGTTTCTTCAATTTGAGTACACAGGGCACCCATCACTATACTCTCTTGAGTCTCCCTAGCTAGTAGCTTCTCCAAAACCAGAATAATCAACTGTAACAATGCACAGCCAAAGCTCCAAGCACTCATATCACAAGGCACTACTTCTGGTAGCCTTCCATGCGCATAGAGTGCATCCTTTTTCATATGGGGGATCTTGAAGCCATTCCCACCTTTGTCCAGAAGCACCTCCTGGAGGCATCGTTGCAGAGTCAGGAAGTTTTTGTTCAACGTAGTCATTTTGACATTCGCCCACGCTGCCTCCGTCGCCGCCACAATTTCTTCGACAGTGCTTGAATACTTTTCCGCTTGAAGTGCTTGAATTGCTCGAAAAAATCCCAGATCGAGGACGTTCATGTCCGGGGAGTTCGGAGGCTGGAACACAACCTGCATATCCCAACCGTCGGCTTTACACGCAGCAATAACATCAGCGTCGAGTGGAGGCACATGTGGTCGGGCATTGTCCTGCTGTATTTTCACGGACCTTGACTCTGCGACGGGCCACTTGGCTCGAATGGCAGGTATGACATGTTGGATCAGCATTGCCTTGTACGTGTCGCGGGTCACAGGTATGGTCTTCATGTCAGGGGTGCCAGCATCTCGTCGAACACTGCGTCGCTGGGCGGGAACAACCTCGGTGAAGTGCCAAGTGCCCACCTTGCCATTGAACCATTCCTTCTTAGTGTCGTCCCAACGCGGTCGGGCCACAGCGGACAGAAACATGACCTTCAATAGATGTCGTTTCGACTTGCATGACCTTTGCTTGATCTTCTCGCCTGGAGGGCTGTACAGTTCGCTTCATGCGAGTCATAAAAATCCATTTTTCGTCAACGTGGACCGTATCGAGCATGGAGTCGAAGAACTTCGCGCCGTCGATGTCCTTGACATGGTTCATGGCCCACTGGAGCCTGCACACTTTGTACGACTCGGTGAGAATCGGCTTCAGAACAGTTGAGTACTTGGCAATGACATCGCTCTTGAAGTAACAATGGAACGTAGACTTCGGAATTCCCAAAGCATGCGCGAGCGACCGAAAGCAATACCGGCGGGATTGTGGGAAGACTTGAATCCGTTCTGGTAGGTTTGTGTGTGCACGCTTGCGACCACTGCTGCCTTTCTTGCGTTGATGGACACTTTGACAAATCGTCTTGTTACCAGTTAGGTCTACACCTGCACGCCGCCAAATCCTCCGGACCGTGTTTGGGGTGCAATTGAACAGTGCTCCAATCTCGTCGGCGACGCCCTTGGGGATCTTGCCTTTCGGCGTGCACCTTGTCAGCACATGCTGAACTAAGTTGTTGCACTCGCGGTCGGTTAGGTTCTTCTTGCGCTGACCCTTGCGCATTGGGAAATGGCTGGACCGAGTGACGTAGGTTTGCATCCCGTTGCGCGCGATGTCTTGGCGCCAAAGTTATTC